AAAGGCAATGGAGATTAAGTGAGATGACATCCATGAAAATCCTGGTATTGTCTTTACGTGAATTACCCACACTACAAATTATACATAATTTGTTTCACTCAAGCTAACTTTCCCCTGCTCTCCAGCAGTTTGGTGGGCCACCTCTGACTCAACATTAGTCATGATAATACCAGTAAGGGCAAATGGATTTTTAAAGCAACTGAAATAAGAGCAAAAGCCTGTCTCCAATATTTTTTTTTTTTTTTTGAGATGGAGTCTCGCTCTCACCTGGGCTGGAGTATGGTGGCACAATCTCAGCTCACTGCAACCTCCACCTCCCAGGTTCAAGCAGTTCTCCTGCCCCAGCCTCCCAAGTAGCTAGGATTACAGTTGCTTACCACCACACCCAGCTAATTTTTTTTTGTATTTGAGACAAGGTTTTACCACGTTGGCCAGGCTGGTTTTGAACTCCTGACCTCAAGTTATTCGCCTACCTTTGCCTCTCAAAGTGCTAGGATTACAGTCATGAGCCACCACGCCCAACCTATACAATTTTTAAAAATTAGCCAGGCATGGTGGCATGTACTTCAGAAGGCTGAGGCAGAAGAATCGCTTGAACCTGGGAGGAAGAGGTTGCAGTGAGCCAAGATCATGCTACTGCACTCCAGCCTGGGTGACAGAGCAAAACTCCATCTCAAACAAAAAAAAAAAAAAAACGATTTTGGGGAAAATATGTCAATATTTTAATGGTGGATATCATTTGAGGTTGAAGGTGGTTTCTGTTTAACTCCTTTTCAAAATTTCTACAGTGAGGAACACATATCACTTTGATAATTTGAGAAAGAAGAAAGCAGCCACATGCAGTAGCTCATGCCTGTAATCTCAGCATTTTAGGAAGCTGAGTCAGGCGGATTGTTGAGCTCAGGAGTAAAGTAAGAGACGGCCTGGGCAAAGTGGTGAGACCACATCTCTACAAACAATACAAAAATTAGCTGGGTGTGGTGGCATGTGTTTGTAGTCCCAGCTTGAATCCAGGAGGTGGAGGCTGCAGTAAGCTGAGATTGCAGCACTGCACTCCAGTGAGATTCTGTCTAAAAAAACACCTGATGTAATCCCATGCATAGTTCAAGAAAATCAACTTGAAGTCCCCTGTGTAATCCTCCCCATTCTACTAAACCATGTGGCTGCCAACTCCTCCCACTTGGGAAACACTGCAAAGTGGCATCACTACCCATTCCACAGTGCAAGCCAGAAATCTAGTAGGCACCGGTGGATGCTTCCCTCTTCTTTCAATCAATCACCAAGTTCTTCATGCCACTGCATTCAAGTCTGAGTGACAGAGCCAGATTCTGTCTCAAAGGAAAAAAAAGCATCGGGCGCAGTGGCTCATGCCTGTTAATGCCAGCACTTGGGAGGCTGAGGTGGGTGGATCACGAGATCAGAAGAATGAGACCATCCTGGCCAACATGGTGAAACCCCATCTCTACTAAAAAAACAGGTATTAGTTGAGGGTGGTGGCACGTGCCTGTAATCCCAGCTAGTAGCTAGTAGCTGGGATTATAGGTGCATGTCACCGTGCCCAGCTAATTTTTGTATTTTTAGTAGAGACGGGGTTTCACCATATTGGCCAGGCTAGTCTCGAACTCCTGACCTCATGACCTGCCTGCCTTGGCCTCCCAGAGTGCTGGGATTACAAGGATGAGCCACTGCGCATGGCAATAGATCTATTTTAAATGAAAACGAAAGTATTCCCATGTATCATTTCTTGTTAACTGCAAAAACTGTACTCAATAATTTTATTTATTGAGACAGGGTCTTGCTCTTTTGCCTATGCTGGAATAAAATGGCATGATCTTGGCTCACTGTAGCTTCAGCCTCTCCTGGATGCAAACAATTCTCCAGCCTTAGCCTCCCAAGAAGCTGGAACTAGTGTGAGCCATTGCACCTGGCAACATAGGATCTCCCTATGTTGCCCAGACAGGTCTTGAACTCCTGGACTCAAGTGATCCTCCTGCCTCGGCCTCCCAGGGTTCTGGGATTATAGACATGAGCCACCTTGCTTTACCCTTTTAAGACCTTTTTTTTTTTTTTTGAGACAGAGTTTTGCTCTTGTTGCCCAGGCTGTAGTGCTGTGGTGCGACCTCGGCTCACTGCAACCTCCACCTTCTAGGTTCAAGTGATTCTACTGCCTCAGCCTCTCGAGTGCCTGGGATTACAGGCATATGCCACAATGCCCAGCTAATTTTGTATTTTTAGTAGAGACAGGGTTTCTCCATATTGGTCAGGCTGAACTCAAACTCGTGACCTCAGGTGATCCACCCTCCGTGGCCTCCAAAAGTGCTGGGATTACAGGCGTGAGCCACTGCGCCCAGCCAAGAATTTTAAATTGACTCAACTGTTTATCAAGTTGCATTGAAATGGTAATGTGAATTAAATATATGTGAAAATGCCCCATGCATTTTCTTTTTTTTTTTTAATCATCTGCCTGCCCCAGCTAGTGCATTTCACAGTGGTAGCATAATGCAGAAATGAAGCCTTTTAACTTTGACTTAAAGGCCGGGTGCAGTGGCTCATGCCTGTAATCCCAGCACTTTGGGAAGCCAAGGCAGGTGGATCACGAGGTCAAGAGATCGAGACCATCCTGGTCAACATGGTGAAACCCCGTCTGACTAAAACTACAAAAAATTTGCTGGGTATGGTGGTGTGTGCCTGTAATCCCAGCTACTCGGGAGGCTGAGGCAGGAGAATTGCCTGAACCCAGGAGGTTCAGAGATCGCGCCATTGTACTCCAACCTGGGTAATAAGAGCGAAACTCTGTCTCAAAAAAAAACCTTTTACTTAACCTTTAAAAAAGGTACCTACTGATAGAATAAGCTAAAAACTAAATCGTTGAAGTATGTTCATTGGGTCCCAAAACTGGAAACTCACTGAGGCCTCTGTTTCTGGCCAGGTGTCACAGGGAATCCTGTACTCTGGGCCAGGGCTAGTCTAATATTTTCTGTTTTTATTTTTTTATATATATAATTGCATAATGCTCTGTTTTGATTATCCGCTTGTACAGTTTGTATGTATGCATGTATCTTTTGTCCTGAGTTACACTATGACTCAGAGTTTCTCGACCTTGATTATTTAGGACAACATAATTCTTTTTTTGGGGGGTGGGGGTGGACAGCATCTCACTCTTGTTCAGACTGGAGTGCCATGGCATGATCTTGGCTACTGCAACCTCTTCTTCCCAGTGGCTGGATAACCTCCTGAGTAGCTGGAATTACAGGCATGCACCACCACACCTGGCTAATTTTTGCATTTTTTGTAGAGACTGGGTTTTGCCATGTTGCCCAGGCTGGTCTCGAATTTCTGGCCTCAAGTGATCTACCCGCCTTGGTCTTCCAAAGTGCTGGGATTACAGGTGTGAAACACTGTGTCTGCCCTCACATAATTATTTTGTGAGGAGGTTGCCCTGTGCATTTCAGAAGGTCTAGCAGCATTTCTGACCCCTGCCCACTAAGTTCCACCAGGTCCCCTTCCACCAAATCATGGTGGGACAATCAAAAAATGTCTCCTAGGAAGGGGGTGAATTCTTTCCCAAATCCTCCCCACAATTAAGAACCACATTAATAGCTCCTTGAGGTTAGAAGCCATGTCATAAATTCCTGTGTTCCCTGCCTAGCACATGGTAAGTATTTTTATTGTCCAAACAATATCATTGCTTCAAGAAAATAATAAGCTTTTTTTTTTTTTTTTTTTTTTTTTTTTTTTTTGAGAGATAGTGTCTTGCTCTGTCATCCAGACTGGAGTGCAGTGACGTGATCCCACTACAGCTGCTCAAGTGATCCTCCCACCACAGCCTCCTCAGTAGCTGGGACTACAGGTGTATGCCACCATACCTGGCTAATCTTTTTGTGGTGGGGGGGTATTTTTTGTAGAGATGGGGTTTGTCATGTTGCCCAGGCTGGTCTCAAACTCCTGGGCTTAACTGAACCTCCCAAAGTGCTGGTGTTATAGGCATGAGCCACCGAACCCAGCCTAATATCGTTAAAGCACTTATTCTTTGTATTCTTTAAGGCTCTTTACATATAGTAACTCACGTAATCCTCCCAGCAACCCTCCGAGATAGGTACTCCTGTTGTGCCTGTTTTACAGTCAAGAAACTAAGGCTCAAGGAGTGTAAGTTAGTTGCCTAAGGTCACCCAGCTGGAAGAAGTGACACCTGTGATCTGAACAGTAACCCAGGTAGTCTGGCTACAGATTCTGGGCTCTCAGTCATTTTGCTGTGTACTGCTTCTAAATACAAAGAAAAGAATTAACTCATGACACTGCTTTCAGAAGGCCTGATGTTATCTATCTGCCCACAGAATTTGCATAGACGAACATGGTAAAAATAAAATTTCCTGGCTAGGCGCAGTAGCTCACGCCTGTAATCCCAGCACTTTGGGAGGCTGAGGTGGATAGATTACCTGAGGTCAGTAGTTGGAGACCAGCTGACCATCATGGAGAAACCCCATCTCTACTAAAAATAAAAAATTAGCCGGGTATGGTGGCTCGTGCCTATAATCCCAGCTACTCGGGAGGTTGAGGCAGGAGAATCGCTTGAACCTGGGAGGTGGAGGTTGCCATGAGCCGAGATTGTGCCATTGCACTCCAGCCTGGGCAACAAAAGCAAAACTCCATCTCAAAAAAATAAATAAAAAACGTAAAATTTCCCATTCTGCCACAAAAGATGATACGGTATAGCAAAGCATGTTTCTGTGTTGCTGAAATCTAAGTTGTTTGAATGGCTGCATCCTAGTCTATCAAAAGGATAGTAAACTAAGGTAACCAGTCCCTTGTTATTGGGCATATGGGTTGTTGCTGATATTTTATTTGAAACATAACTTTTTGAAATACTATTTACATGCAGTAAAGTACATGATTTTAAGAGTGCAGTTTGGTAAGTTTTGGCAAATATATAAACCTCCGCTACCACTAACACATTCAAGATACTGACCATCTATCTCATCCCCTTTGTTTCTTTCTGTGGTAGATAATGTGCTGCAGCTGGCTAGTACCAGCTTGGGAGCCAAATATGTACATCTCTTCCCAAATCTACATTAGAAACATTGTATTAGAAGCTCAAAGTTGGTCATGGTGGAAGTATTTACACCACAGAAAGCAGTAAGTACCACAAATCCGGGCTTCCTTCCTTCTTTTTCTTTCTTTTCTTTTTTTCTTTCTTTTCTTTTTCTTCCTTTCCCTTCCTTTCTTCCCTCCCTCCTTCCCCCTCTCCCTCCCTCCTTCCTTTCTTTCTTTTATTCATTCTTTCTTTGTTTCTCCTTTCCTTCCCTTTCCCTTTCCTTTCTTTCCTTTCTTTGTTGAGAACCAATTTAGCAACACCATGACTTACACTCCTTTGCAGTCAACCCCCTCCATCCTACAGCCACAGTCTACTTTTGGATATTATTTTATTTTGTATTCTCCAGAATATTATATAAGTAAAATCATACTGTATGTACTCTTTGGTGCTTCTTTTGCTCAATGTATTTTTGCAATTCATCACATTGTTGCACATGTTAGTAGTTCATTCCTTTTCATCGTTTTCCATTGCATGGGTGTACCAGACATTTCTTCATTCATGTGGTGATGGACATTCAGGTTATTTCCATTTGGGGACTATTAGAAATAAACTTGTCATGAACATTTATGTGCCAGTCATTGGATGGACAAGTTTGAATTATTCATGGATAAATAGCTAGGAGTAGAGTTCCTGGGTCATATGTTAAACTTATATTTTTATACAAGGAGCTGCTAACCTGTTTTCCAAAGTGGTCTGAGACAGGGTTTTGCTGTGTTGCCCAGCCTGGACTGCAGTGGCCTACAGCCTCAACCTCACCACGCAGTCTTCTCACCTCAGCACCCCAAGTAGCTGGGACCCCTAGTGCATGCTACCACACCTGGCTAATTTTATTTTTTGTAGAGACAGGGTCTCACTGTGTTGCTCAGGCTGGTCTTGAACTCCTGGGCTCAAGTGATCCTCTCACTTGGCCTCCCAAAGTGCTGGGAATACAGGTGTGAGCCAGTGCACCCAACCAGTCTTTTTAGCTTTAGACATTCTAGTGGATGTATGTATAGTGTTACCTCATTATGTTTATTTTTAAATTGCCTTTATTTTGGTATAAATTATATTCCAAAAAATGTAGGTTTTAAGTTTGTATGCTAATCTGATCACCATCACAATCAAGACTGAACATTTCTATCACCCCCAAAAGTTATTGCATGACTTCCAAACGATTCTCCTCCTCCAACTTCTTCTCTAGGAAACTACCGATCTGTCCTCTGTCATTATAGATTGGATTTGTCTTTTGTCTTTTTTTTCTTTTTTGAGGCAGGGTCTCGCTTTGTCACTCAGGCTGGAGTGCAGTGGTGCAATCTCGACTCACTGCAACCTCTTCTTACTGGGTCAAACAGTTGCCCCCACCTCAGCCACCTGAGTAGCTGAAACTACAGGAATGTGCCACCATACCCGGCTCATTTTTTTTTTAGAGAGACAGGGTTTCATCATGTTGGACAGGATAGTCTCTATCTCCTGACCTCGTGATCCACCCACCTTGGCTTCTATGCCCAGCCTTTTTTTTACCCCCTGAGATGGAGTTTTGCTCTTGTTGCCCAGCCTGGAGTGCAATGGCTCGATCTCGGCTCACCACAACCTCTGCCTCCTGGATTCAAGTGATTCTCCTGTCTCCGCCTCCCAAGTAGCTGGGATTACAGGAATGCACCACCATGCCAGGCTAATTTTGTACTTTTAGTAGAGACAAGGTTTCTCTATGTTGGTCAGGCTGGTCTTGAACTCACAACCTCAGGTGATCCGCAGGCCTTAGCCTCCCAAAGTGCTGGGATTACAGGACTGAGCCAGTGTGCCCAGCCCATTTTTGTATTTTTTGTAGAGACAGGGTTTTGCTATATTGTCCAGGCTGGTCACAAACCCTGGACTGAAGTGATCCTTCTGCCTCAGCCTTCCAAAAGTGCCAGAATTACAGGTATGAGCCACCACGCCTGGCCAGATTTGCCCCCTTTTTTTTTTTTGAGATGGAGTCTCGTACTGTTACCTGGGCTGGAATGTGCTGGGATGACAGGCATGAGCCACTGTGCCCGGCCCAGGTTTGTCTTTTCTAGATTTTTGTATAAATAAAATCATAAAACAGGTACTATTTTTATGTCTGTTGTCATTTGCTTAACTTCAGATTCATCCAGTTATTCCATGTATCAATAGTTTGTTCCTTTTTCTTGCTGAGTAATACTCTATTGTAGGAATATGCCAGAATTGGTTTAGTCATTCTGTTTATCGACATTTGGATTGTGTCTGGGGCTAATTCATAAATTAATGCATTTTTGAATGTTTTTTGTGTCTTTGCCTGGACATGTTCTTGCTTTTTTTTTTTTTTTTTGAAACAAAGTCTTACTCTGTCACCCAGGCTGGAGTGCAGTGGTGTGATCTCAGCTCACTGCAACCTCTGCCTTCCAGGTTCAAGCTATTCTTCTGCCTCAGCCACCTGAGTAGCTGGGGTTACAGGCACATGCCACTATGCCCAACTAATTTTTTTTGTATTTTTTTGGGGGGGTACTGGGACGGAGTCTTGCTCTGTCACCTAGGATGGAATGAGTGGCACTATCTCAGCTCACTGCAACCTCCGCCTCCCAAGTTCAAGTGATTCTCCTGCCTCAGCCTCCCAAGTAGCTGGGATTACAGGTGTCCACCACCATGCCTGGCTAATTTTTGTATTTTTAGTAGAGATGAGGTTTTGCCATGTTGGCCAGGCTAGTCTTGAACTCTTAACTTCAGGTGATCTGCCCGTCCTAGCCACCCAAAGTGCTGGGATTACAGGTGTGCGCGACTGTACCCAGCTTTCTTGTATTATTTTTTTTTTCTGTAGAGACGGCCCAGCTGGTCTTGAACTCTTGACCTTAAATGATCTGCCCACCTTAGCCTCCCAAAGTGCTGGGATTACAGGAGTGAACCACTGCATCCAGCCTGGACATGTGCTTTTATTTATCTTATTTCCACCTAGGAGTAGAAATGCTAGGTCATATGGTATGCATGCATTTATTTATAAGAAACTGCCAAACTGTTTTCCAAAGTTGCTTTATTACTGTACGTTTCTACCACAGATGTTTGAGAGTTTTATTTGTTCCACATTCTCATAAACGCTTGATATGTCAGTCTTTTTAATTTTAGCCATTCTAGTCATGGTATTTCATTATGGTTTAACTTTGCATTTCTGGCCGGGCCTGGTGGCTCACGCCTATAATCCCAGCACTTTGGGAGGCCGAGGCGGGTGGATCACGAGGTCAAGAGATCGAGACCATCCTGGTCACTATGGTGAAACCCCGTCTCTACTAAAAATACAAAAAATTAGCTGGGCATGGTGGCGCATGCCTGTAATCCCAGCTACTCGGGAGGCTGAGGCAGGAGAATTGCTTGAACCCAGGAGGCAGAGATTGCAGTGAGCCGAGATCGTGCCGTTGCACTCCAGTCTGGGTAACAACAGCGAAACTCCATCTCAAAAAATAAATAAATAAATAAAGTTGCATTTCTGTGATGATTTAATGATGTTGAACATTTTTTACTAGTCTATTGGCCATTCAGCTATCTTATTTTGTGAAGTATCTGTTTAAATATTTTGCCCATTAAAAAAAAATTTATCTGGGCTGGGTGCAGTGCCTCACACCTGTAATCCGAGCACTTTAGAAGTCCAAGGCGGGTGGATCACCTGAGGTCAGGAGTTTGAGACCAGCCTAGCCAACATGGCAAAACCCGATCTCTACTGAAAATACAAAAATTAGCCAGGGGTGGTGGTGCGCCTGTAAGCCCAGCTATGGTGCCTAGAACAGGACAAAACAAAATCTAAACTTTAAATAGAGGATACATTTTCTCAGAGCTATAACAACGTTGTGTCAATGAAATAAGAACAGGTTCTTTTTAAAAAAGAACATTGGAGAATAGAACATCTAAAATATGATAACCATTAACTTTAATCAATGAGTTGGAAGATAAAATTGAGAAAATAGTTTTTTAAAAGAACCCCAAAAGCTGGAAAAAATTTTTTAAAAGCTAAAAGGCCCAGTAAGACTAATTTCAATTAAGAAGCATTACAGAGGGCTGGGTGCCGTGGCTCATGCCTGTAATCCCAGCACTTTGGGAGGCTGAGGTAGGCGGATTATGAGGTCAGGAGTTTGAGACCAGCCTGATCAACATGGTGACACCCCATCTCTACTAAAAATACAAAAACTAGCCAAGCACGGTGGTGCACACTTGTATTTCCAGCTGCTTAGGAGCTAAAGCAAGAGAATCACTTGAACTCGGGAGACGGAGATTGCAGTAAGCCAGATGGCACCACTGCACTTTAGCATGGGTGACAGAGTGAGACTCTGTCTCAAAAAAATAAATAATCATTACAGAGATATGGAACATAGAGAAATGGAGGGAAAGCAATCATCGAAGGAAAAATTCAAGAAATCATCTCAGACCTGAATGGCCTAGATTTCTAAAATGAAAGGCCCACTGAGTACACAACATAATGGATGAAAGCGTTCATTCAAAGACGTATCATGCAATTTCAGATCAATGAGTTAACAGAAGATCCTAAAACCTAGAGAGAAAAAGCCGGTCACATTCAAAGGAACAGCAGTGAGAATGGCATCATGCTTCTTATTAGCCATGCTGAAGGATAATGTAGGAATGCTTTCCAGTGATTTATGATATAAATTACTTAAGGCCAGGTGCGGTGGCTCATGCGTGTAATCCCAGCACTTTGGGAGGCCAGGGTAGATGGATTGCCTGAGGTCAGGAGGTCGAAACCAGCCTGGCCAACATGGTGAAACCCCATCTACTGAAAATACAAAAATTAGCCAGGCAAGGGGGCAGGAGCCTGTAATCCCAGCTACTTCAGATGCTGAGGCAGGAGAATCACGTGAACCTGGGAGGCAGAGTTTGCCATGAGCCAGGATCACACCATTGCACTCCAGCCTGGGCAAAAAGAGTGAGACTTCATCTCAAAAATAAAATAAATAAATAACTTACTTAAATTGTGGATCAGTAGAGTAAGCATATTTTCAAGACCAGGTATAGTGACTCATACCTGTAATCTCAAGCCTTTGGGAGGCCAAGGCCGATGGATCAC